CGAGTCTCTAAGCCTGCCAGATTACCCTCTGAGGGTATAGCTGCAGAGCAGGTTCCCGTTTGCCTCGGCAGGGGCTCATTCCTCAACCAAGGGCTCCTTAGACCAATGGAATCTGAGTTCCAGGCCCTTCTGTGCCAGGGGCAGACATCCAGCTCTGGACTCAGCCCTGGCTTCAGTCTGCACCTGGGATGCGCACCGGCTCTGGGACTCTGGCCAATCATTGGACCCTTACACAGACTAGAATTTGGGCGACAGTTACTGAGCTGCCATGGGGGAAGGAGCTTGTCATTGGGAGTGCCCCTCCCCCCCCAATGGGGTGGAAATACAAGGAGGAAGCAGTCCCTGCTCTCAGGAAACTTAGATTCTGCTGGTGGTGGCAATGATAAATATAAAATAAATCCGGTAAATAATATGTGCAATAAGAACAAAAGAATCATTTCAGGCTGCTGAATTGTGAAGCACTTACCAACCAGGGCCGGCATTCTTCGCGTTGTTTTTTCAGTTTTTTGGGCTCTGGACCCCTTGGGAGATTCCTCAGAATCATGTTTTCAAATGCATAAAATCGATAGGATTACAACGGAAGCCAATTATATAGAGATTCAGGCATCAAACTTTAAAAAAAAAGCCAATTCTGGGCCCCCAAGTTAAGGACCCCTGAACTGGGTGTCGTTTGGTACCGAGGGAGGGGACTGAGGCAGGGTCGAGGGTGAGTAGGCCAGCCGGGGCCAGACCCCAGGCCTCCCAACTCCTTGGCCGTCTAGCGCCTGTTTCTCTCCGAGCTGTTGGCCTGCCTGGCCAGTCTCGGATGAGCCAACTTGGGAGGAGAACGAATGCAACGTTGGGTAAAGTGAATTCTGTTTTCCGAGTGACTCATGACCCTCATTTCCAAGTTGCTTCGTCATGGTTTCTTGACGTGAACAGTGGCTCCTAACGCTGAAGCCATCTCTGCCTTCCGTGGGCAGCATCCCTCCTCGTTAATGAGCGCTAAATGTGCGTAAATGCACCGGGGAGAGTCGCTCTGGAACGGACCCTTTTCTAAAATAAAGAATGGTCTTCCGCATGGGATAAGTCACTTGGGAGAGCCACAGGCTGGAAAGCCAGGCCTGAATCCCCACCCGGGGACCTCAGGGAAGCCTGTTAACCTTTATAAATCTCATTTTCCTCATTTGCGAAATGAGATGCTTGGATGAGACCAGGGGTCCCTGGACTTGTTTTTCAATATTTTGGTAACTGTATTTCCATACAATGGGTTTCCTTGGTAATCCTGGGGATTTTATTTTATGCATTTAAAAGCATCCTTCTGAGGAGGGGTCCAGAGGCCTTTACTGGACTTACTGCCAGAGGGGTCCAGGACATAAAAGAGGTTATAACCCCTGGACTGGGTGATCTCTGCTTATTCCCAACTCTCCCTGCCTTAGAGGTGTGGAAAGGGAATCCGAGAAGCTGGGTTCAAATCCTAGCTCTCTTGTGGTCTTGAGCAAGCTACCTAATCTCTCTAGCTCTTGTGGTTCTGCTATAAAAGAAGGGGGAGGGGCAGGACTAGATGATCTGCATATTATAGCAGAGAGAGCAGGGGCTCTGGGAGAAGAGGATCTGGGTTCTAATCCTGCCTCTGCCACTTTCTACCTTGGGTGTGTTAGTTTTCCCTTTTTAGGCATTTTCTGTTTGCTAGCCTGTAAAATAAGGAGGATGGATTAGGCGACCTCCAAGACCCCCCCCCACCCTGCCCAGTTCTGTCCCCAGAATGGAAATGTCGCTGGGGATATAGGCATGGACCTGGCCCTGCTGAGACCGAGAAGAACATGTTAGTGACACCCCTCATCATGGCGGCGTTGGCTTTTTCCTTCTTGGCCTCTAGTGGTGGGAATAATAATTATAAGCGTCCCTTCTGTAAGATTTATAAAGCACATGCTGCATAATAGGTATAGGAGGTACATGGGGAATTATCCCCCTTTTACAGTTGAGGAAACTGAGGCCCAAAGACTTGAAGTGACTTATCTAGACTAACAGGGGCTAGTGAGTGTCAGACGTGGCACTTGAACCCAGGTCTCTTGACTTCCAAACACTGTCATGTCGAGAGGCGGGGGTGGGGTGGAGGCCAGGAAAATGAGTCCCCTGGAATAGTTCTGGCCCAGAGAATGCTTCCTGTCTTCAGGGTAGCTAAAATCACTTTCGTTCATTTAATCAAGAAATGCTTACTAAGCGCCTAGTGTGTGCGAGGCGCTGTGCTAAGTGCCAGCGATACAAAAAGAAGTAAAAGACAGTCCCTGCCCTCAAGGACTTTGCAGTCGAATGGGGGAGCTAGCGTACAAACGCTGCGTACAAGCAAGACACAGAGGGGATCGATAGGACATGATTAACAGAGGGAAGGCCCTGGAAGGCTCCCGGGGAGGGTGGGGTTTAGAGGGAGCCGCGAGGTCAGCGGTCGGGCGGAGGAGAGAGCGGTCCAGGTACATCGCGCGGAGGACGCCGTCTGCACGCCCCTCCCGCCGTCCCTCACACAGGTCAAGGGTAGAGGTGGGGCTTCGCTCGGCTTCCAGGTGTCCGCTGCCAAGGTCGGGCAGCTGGGGCCGCTCTGGCCGAGGGCAGCTCGACAACCCAGACGCTTCTAGTTCGGCTGGGTTCACTGCGCTTTCAGAGAGGGTCGGAGACGGGAATGAGTGCGTGTTAGAGGTCGTTGGGCTCAGCCCCCTCCTCCGGCACAGGGAGGAAACTGAGGCCTGGAGAAGGGGAATGGCTCAGCCGAAGGGGACCTCAGAGACCATCCTGTCTCATTTTATGGGGGAGAAGCCAAGGCCCACAGAAGGCAAGTGACTTACCCAAGGTCACACCGGTAGGAAGGGGCAGAAGGGGGCTCTGAATCCACTGCTCTTTCCACACCAGGGAATTTTGAGTGTTTTTGCCTCCTTAGTGACGCCACCGCCTTCCCCCATCGATGCTGCACGGATTGCGGACTGGTCTGGGAGGTCTTTCCTAGCTCCCTTCTCTCTTCTCCCTGGGAGGTCAGAGCTGATGCCAGCCTCCCTGCCGCCAACCTGTGTCTGCTGGAAAGTGTTGTGTTCTGAGAGGCAGAAGACCCCTTCATCTGTACGAGCCTCACCTTGTTTCTCCCTTAAATGGGGATAGTACAACTTGCCCTGTGTCATAGGTTCAATACAACAAACATTTATGAAACACCTACTGTGTGCAAGTCAAGAAGCTGAGTTAATAGTTGTAGCAGCTAGCATTTACAGAGTGCTTTAAAATTTACAAAACCCTTTATAAATATCTTCTCATTTGATCCTCACAACAAGCCTGGAGGGGAAGAACGATTAAGAATTATAATAATAATGACTCACATTTATAGAGCACCTACTGTGTGCCAGGCGCTGTGCTAAGCACTTTACAAGTCTTATTTCATTTGAGCTCCACAAGAACCCTGGCTGAGAGGTGCTATTAACGATGATACCGATAATAATACCTAACATTTACAGAGCCAGGATGTTTGTAATAATTTATATTATTTTGGTCATTTACGATTATAATTAGGATCCTTCCTAGCAATGCTGCCCAGGCATTTCCAGGTGATGGTGGCAGATCCTCGCAAAGCCCCTCCCTCTCTTTGGGGCTCGGATCTCAGTGGGGTCTTATTCCTTTCCCATCTGTAGAACTGAAATGGTGGCTTAACGGTGTCGAGGTCCACAGTTCAAAGGTAGTGTGCCCAAAATGCTGATCAGCCCAGAGGGGAGAGTGGCAGGCCTGGAGTCAGGAAGACCCAAGTTCAAATCCCGCCCCAGACACTGACTGGCTGTGTGACCCTGGGCAAGTCACTTTACCTCTGTTTGCTCGATTGTAAAATGGGGATGGTAATAATAGCACCTGCCTTCTAGGGGTGTTGTGAGGACGAAATGAGATGATATTTATAAAGTGCTTTGCAGACCGTAAAGTACTGTAGAAATGCTACTTGCTGCTGCTGCTATTCTTATTGTTACGCCTGTTATTCTTATTGTCACACTTGGCTGAGGAGGCCAAGGGGCATGGGGCACCCTGACCTTATTACTGGGGCTTTGGGGTGAATGTGGGTACACACGCAAACACACATGCATTCACTCAGTTACATACCGCTCACACATGTGTGTGCAGATAGTCACACAGGCACGCCTCACTGGAGAACGCGCTGCCAGACTGAACCAGACACACAGAACATACCACACAAGCATACCCATCTCTAAGATACATACATATTGACCTACGCAAATATATGCAGTTACATACATGAGCAGACACATGAAGATGGGTACCTGCAGTCCCACACATACAGCATACGTGCATAGATCGCACATATGTGCAGTCACTGTCCGTACCTGTCATCTACACTTGGGCCATGAGCTCTTTCTCTGTTCCCTGGAACTCCCAATGAGGAAATCAATCTCTGAGGCTCATGGGCTCAAAGACTCAGCTTGTGTTACAACTGGAAGGCTCGTTTCTCATCCTCAGACTGAAGCAGGGACATTTGGGCAGAGACACGGCATGGTTAGACCCCCCAAGGCTTAGGGAAGGCAAACCTGGTTGGTCTCCGTCCCCTTAGATGGCACTTCCCTCCTTAGAGAGACCCCCCTGATCATTGCTGTCTCCGTTGGTAAGGTCAGCAGGCAGTAGGGGCAGATAGTAGCACTACTGGGCTGTGAGAAGGTCTACCATATAGATAGATAAAGCATTTATTAAGCGCTTACTGTGTGGCAGACACTGCTGGTGTGTGAGAATCTGGTCTAAGCAGACTGAACAGGTGCTGGAGCCAAAGGGTGGGGCATGGAATGGAATGGGGGGCTGTCTTAGGTATGCTGAATGAGCCATAGATTAACTTGCCTGCTCCTCTGTCTGTCTGTCCATCCCTCCATCCATCTGTCCGTCCACCTGTCCACCTGCCTGTCTGTCTAAGCATGCATTCATGTAACCCACCTGTGGATGACAACCCCGTCCGTGTCCATGCTAACCCTCTTCTCCATTTCTTTACACTTCAGAGGAGCCGCCCGGTGTGGCCAACCCTTACCGTGCCTCTGACCGTACGTTGCTTGCCTCCCGATGGGGAGAAGGAGGGATTCTTGGGCTGGGGTTCCTTGGGAATTCAGGGGCGGGTGGTGTACTGGGTGGCATTCTTTTCAGTCCGGGATGAGCTGGGCGGGAGAGAAGGAACGCAACCATTCATTAAGTGGCAGCTCTGGCCAGGCACCGAAGATACAAGTACACTAGATAGAAATCCCTCCTCCCAGGGAGCTTACATTCTAATGGAGAGAGAAGTCCATTACTAAGTACTGAACACTTCTCTCCCTCTCCCCTCCCATTTCCACCAAGTTTCCTTTTTTTTTTTTTCCTAGTTAGGGGGCTGTGGCAGGTGCAATTCACTGGTCCAGTCTGTGCACTGTACAACACAGTGGAGACAGAGAGACAAAAGCAATAAAGATGCAAAGCGAACCAGTTCTGGCCCTCAAGGAGGTTACAATTTATCTTCTTAGGCCAGAGTAGGAAAGGAGGAGAGAATTGTTTCTCTGGAGCCCAGTGGATAATCCCCAAATCATTTCCAGTCCATTACAATGATTCCATTCTCCCTCTCTTTGGTGAATTTGGCTTCCTGAGGTTTTGGGGTCCAGAGGGATATTAAATGAGTCTCCCATCCCTGACTCTATACTCACCAACTGTCATGGATGGCTGGCAGAAATGGGGCAGCCGATGGGCAAGAAGAAGGCAGGAGAAGATGGGAGGATTTGCATATAGGCAGCCAGGTGGCTGATATACATGGGAATGGAGATCTGGCCATGTTTATGCATGTTTACATTAGCTCCCATAAGTCAGGCCCTCTCTGGCTGCCTCCACAATGTTCTGACCAGTCATCACGTGCCAAGTTCCTGCCCGAGGCCGTGGGCCTCCCTCTCCTAATGCCCCACCTCTCCTGTTAGCTTTGTCTTTCACTCAGCAATTAGCTAGGACCACCAGTGCTGAACTATCCTCTTGGGATGGCCATTCCCTTCTGGAAGACCAGGAGTGACCTATCCCAGGCCCTATCTCAGGTCATGCCATAGGAAGCCAACAGAATCCAATGTTTCTTGGTCACAGAAAAAGCCTCCTTTAGACATAGGGTCCCATTTTGTTTCAGGTCCTCTCCCTTTAGATGGAGGCAAAGTACTCACCCTTAAACAGAGCCTTGGTCTGAGAGAGCAGACAATTGCCTCAGTATTTAGGGAGCTCTTGGTTTGTTAGGGCCAGCTGTGGTTCCTGTCCCCAGGGTGAAATTAGTCTCTACCCAGCAATATGTCCTTAGCTATCTCAATGTCAAGCTAGGCAAAATGACCTTTGCCTTCCTATTCTTCCTATTGAAAGAATATCATGGCTCTTGGTGGCTGGAGTTGGGATTCCCATCACTCTAGCTTCCACTACCATCTTCTTCTTCCTCCTCAACAACTAATAATAACAGCAATAAAAACAGCTGTTGTTTACCACCTAAGGTCCAACTTTCAACCTTTACCAGAAATCTTTCAGGCCTATGGTTAGGTTTCCTTTAGACCTTACTTGAGAAGTCATCTTATCCACACCAGGGTGTCCTAATTACTACCCTTTTCTACCTTTGGGGTGTTTTCCCTTATGACTGCCATCTCAACAAAGGGACAGCCCAGTCTATCTGAGCTTCTAGAATGTAGTAGCTAAAGCCCCAGGCTGGGAAATGAATGAATGAATGAATTAAAAAGTAACATGAATGTTAGTTCAAAAATTTTGACATTAGTGCCAGTGAGATAGTATAGAAGAACGTCTGTTCCTAACCTTTATCTTTAAACCTTGCTCCAACTTTATTCCTAAACGGAACACCTACTGGACAGTATTCAGTGTGCATAGATGGTGTTGAGATTAGGCAGCTTCGTTTTTGTTCCTTGCCTTTCTCTCAAGGGGCAAGAGGCCATGACCCTGAGGGTTAGGGAGCACCTTCCTTTCTCCTGTGTTCCTTTTCCCTAGGAGGAGGGAGCAGTCTTTACTTAGATCCCTGTCCATTTGGTCCCATAGCTTGGCCTCCTGGGGATGGGCTTGGCCTAAAATCTGAAATTAGCACAATTAGCTTTGACAGTTGCTCCAGCCGATGCCTAGGCCTTGGATGGCTACTCTCCAAGATGGTGAGGTTTGCATGGGGTGTATGTGGCAGGGACAGCGTTGGTGAAGTGAAACATGAAGGGTCTTGGTCCCATGACAAAGGTAGGGTTCAATGAACACCATTTGAAAATTAGCCTTGGGAAGAGGATAGGGCCTGGGGATAGGAGAAAATAATAAAAGTTGGTAATTGAAACTCAAGGATAAAGATAGGGGTTCAAGGCCAAGGATGGGAACTTGAGAACCTGAGATTGCCCACCAAGAGTCAGGGATGGGGAGTGTGGACTGGGGATGGGAGTGCATGTAGATTAGTGTTACTGGCTTCAAGGTTCCAAAGCTGGACAGTGATGGGAGCCTGGCCAAATTCAGGCTGTGAGCCACTCTCCCTGAAACACCTGTAACTGATTCTCTTCTGTGGCTTCCTAGTTGACGATGGCCTGGGTTTCCTCCCTACCTTTGGACCCTGCTACGTGAACCTTTATGGCAGTCCCAGAGAATACACCGGCTTTCCTGACCCCTACGAGGAACTCAACCTAGGCAAGGTGAGGCTGAGGCTGCTGCCAGCTGGGAGGTATGGGATCAAATGTGGAGAAGTGGTGGAATGGTGGTCTGTCTTGGGGGCTCCAGACAGTGCTATTCGGTGAATTAACTCACTAGGGTATATCCACTGGCTCCTGGCTATGGTGCATTTCTGTCAAAATAAATATTGATTAAGCACTTACTATGTGCCAGGAACCATGTCAAACGCCAAAGATGGCATCTTTCTAGGGCCACGGCCACAGGGACAGATTCCATTCCCCCACCCTCAGCCATTCCCTGTCTCATGCCTCAAGTTGAACCATCACCAACAATGTCCTCTCATGTTGGCCATTTTGAATATCCTCCATCTTGCTCCCTCCTGGAACAGGCAGTGACCAGACACAGGCTTAATCAAAGAATCAATCAATAAATGCCCACTACTGGCTATGTACAGACTTACTCCTTGACCCCTCGGGTCTGAATCTGTCTGACCCCAGGATCCAGTCCTTTTCTGACTTAGGTCTCGCTCTCCTGGACTCCCTGAGGAATCTGACTTATCTTCCTGACTTAAGCCGTAGGTGTCCCCGCCTCCCTCCCTCTCCTCCCCAGGCCTGAAGATACAGGTCCCATCTGTCTAAGTGTCCAGTGTCCTGCCCAGACCCCAATTCCTCGGAGTGTCTGAGCTGAGTGTCCAACTTGTCATGTTTAGTTCCTTTCTTCCTTCCTCTTTCCTTTCCCCCGTGAGTGCTGCTTTCCTGGATGCTTCTTGTGTTTTATCTTTGGGTTAGCTGGATTTTAATTCCTTAGCCTAAAAACCACCAGCCTACTCCTCTCAATCCATGATGCCTATCAAGATATAGAAACGTGGATGAATTATCTAGAGAACAGCCAAGAAGGACGCAGATAGTAGGTGGTTTCCTCCTTTGCCCCCAAATAATTGTGCTTGAAGACTGAACTCAGCTAATGGCCAAATCAAGCTAAGAACAACGAATGGGATTACTAGGCTGAATGTTTAAGTGAAGGCTTCTGTCTTTATCAAAATGGTGAACACATGACAGGGTATCTGTCATGGGTCTGAGTCTCCTAGTCTAAAAGAGTCAGATGTAAGACTTGGGAAATGCAAGCATGTTTCTCAAATCTTTGGCTCATGGCTGTGAGCTAGGTAGGAGCCCCTGCTTCCTTGAGTAACCTTCCGAAACAGGGAGACCATGGGGTCACAAGTAGAGAAAGACCTCCAAGACCTCCACTGAGCCTGACCCCCTCATTTTGCAGAGGAGGAAACTGAGGCAGGCCTAGATAGGTTGCATAACTTACACAAGATCGTTCATGTGCAGAAGGCGAGGATTTTCTCATTGTTCTAAGTTCACTCTGGACATTAACCAGACTCGGTTGTTAGCTGGAACGCAGACACAGCTACCACGGGGAGAGGATTATGGGTGGGAATTGGGCTTAAGACTTCACTCTCCCTCTGTGTCCTATTCCTCATCACCTAAGGGCTCTCATGGCCCTCATTGCTCCATTCCTCTCTGCATACAATGTGCTCTATTGAACAATTAAGAGCGTGTCCTCACATCCACAGTGTAAAAGCCCTCCCCAAGCTTAGGGCCTCCCCCACCCCGTGAGTCCAGACTCTTCTCTCCCCTTTCCAAGTAGTGTGAACAAATTACCGAGTTTCTTCCTTCTTAGGGAGAAGGCGTGTCCTACCGTGGCCGGGTGCTGGTGTCCCTGGAGACAAAGCTGGTGGAGCAGACAGAGCAGCGGGTGGACGACATTCACGCAGATGACATCTTACGGGTGGAGGTATCGGTTGTGGGATTAGAAAAGCGATCCCGTGCAGGCTCTGTCCAGGACAAGGGAGGTGAGAGGAGCCTTGGCCAGGGCCATGGGTGACGTCAGAGTCTGAAGCACTGTATTCGAGTCCTGGCTTGGGTACTTACTCCCTGTGTGACTTTGGGCAGATGTCTTCCTCTTTCTAGGTCTGTTGTCCTTATCCATCCAATAAGGAGGTTTGACCAGGAAGGGGACCCTTCTAGCTCTAGGGCTCTGATTCTGGCATCCCCAACTGGGGTTAAAATACCTTCCTTGCCCCTCGTGGGGCTGTTTGTGATGATCAGATAAGATAATTAAAGCAGCTTGAAAAATGGAAAGGGACAAAAAAATGAGGTTTGATTGTTATATTCACATAATAGTAATATTATAATTCTTTTTTTTGGGGGGGGAAACCCCTATTTCATTGGAATAGGAACTCCCAATATGGAAATTTCTTCCACTGATACAAGTCACCACCTGCCTGGAATTTAGGTTCAGAGAGTTGCTTGGGGCACTCAGAAGTTAAATGACTGGTCCAAGATCACAGTGTGTGTGTGTCAGATATGGGTTTTGAACCCAGGTCTTCATGATTCTAATGCTTTCTATCCACTTTGCTTTGATGACTTTCTTCTTCTTCTTCTTCTTCTTCTTCTTCTTCTTCTTTCTCCCTCTTCCTCTTCTCCTTCTTCCTCTTCCTCTTCTTCTTCTCCTTCTTCTCCTTCTCCTTCTTTCTTTTTCCTCCTCCTCCTTCTCCTCCTCCTCCTCCTTCTCCTTTTTCTTCTCCTTCTTCTCCTTCTTCTTCTCCTTTTCCTTCTCCTTCTTCTTCTCCTTCTTTTCCTTCTCCTTCTTCTTCTTCTTCTCCTTCTCCTCCTCCTCCTCCTTCTCCTCCTTCTCCTTCTCCTCCTCCTTCTTCCTCTTTCTCCTTCTTCTTCTTCTTCTTCTTCTTCTTCTTCTTCTCTTCTTCTCTCTTCTCCTTCTCCTTCTCCTTCTCCTTCTCCTTCTCCTTCTCCTTCTCCTTCTCCTTCTTCTTCTTCTTCTTCTTCTTCTTCTTCTTCTTCTTCTTCTTCTTCTTCTTCTTCTTCTTCTTCTTCTTCTTCTTCCTTTTCTTCTTCTCCTTCCCCTCCTCCTCCTCCTCCTCCTTCTCCTCCTGCTCCTTCTTCATCATCATCATCATTATCTTTATCTTAGACCTGTGATTGAATTTCTACAGGGAACTCTCAGTATGGGAATTCCCTCTCCCACTGGAGAACTGTTGGGGGGCCCTAAGAAGCAACGGGTCTCCCCCAGGGTCCCATAGCTAGTATGTGTCAGAGGCAGGGCTTGAACCCAGTGCCATCTTCTTAGCTTCAAGTCTGGTCTATACCACACTGCAGTTATTGTAATATTATAACAGCCAATATGTATTTGCTGAGCAGCTTCTGTGTGCCTAGGACCTGTGTTCCAACCTCTCCACTGACACCACTTATATGAGCATGGGCAGATTCTTCCATGGCCCTACTGTGTGTGGCAGTGCCCATGGAGTCCTTTAAGGTTTATGCCCAAAGATGGGGCAGCTAGGTGGTGCAGTGGATAGAGCACTGGCCCTGGATTCAGGAGGACCTGAGTTCAAATCTGGCCTCAGACACATAACACTTACTAGCTGTGTGACCTTGGGCAAGTCACTTAACCCCATTGCCTAGCAGAAGAAAAAAAAAAGAAAATGGCACAAAGGTTTATGCCCAAAAAACACAAACTATGACAGGTGGAAAGGCTTTGAATATGGGCCCAACAATGGATTGTATGTCTGATGACCCAGGACTAGACTATATTGCCATGCTGGCTACAGGGGAATTATTTTTCATCCATGAAAACTAATGACAACTGTCTGACAATGAGGTTTCAATCTTTATTTCTGGGGCACTGAATCCTTGAAATATTGATTCATGGGTGAGATACAAAGGTGAATCCGATAAGTCCCCTGCCCTCAAGAGGCTTACAGTCTAGCTAGAGAGATTCAATTCAATTTAACAAGCATTTATTGAGTACCTGCTAAATGTTAGGTGCTGTGCTAGGCACTGGGGATTCAAAGACAAAAATGAAACCACTCCTGACATCAAGGGGCTTCCATTCTCCACAGATCCGTCAATACTTGAAGGATTGATGATTTTATATTCGTGGAATCTCCCCACACTGGTTCACTGCAGATGGGCTGGGTCATGGTCTTGGGAGTTGATGCGGCCAAAAGAATCAGCCTGGTGACCAGCTGGTGATAATTTCTTTAGAGTTTAGGTAGTCCTCAGACAACCAACACAGGATATACAATGAGATCAGGAAAACCTGGGTTCGAATCCTGACACCTGTGTGACTCTGGACACACCCCCTCTCCTCTTAGGGCCCCCAGGCACCTCTCTAAAGACTCCACATGGCCTGGATTGGAGAAGGACGTTCTCGAGACCTGTGAATCCCAGGCCTTATCCCCGCTGTTTCATAGTCATTGAAATGCTGGACTTGATGGGCCCTACAGTCCTTTCCAGCTCTGTCGAAGGCTCTGCCTTTGGTGCTGGGAGAGAGCAGGAAGAATCCAAGTCAGAGAATCCGGGTTTGAATCTTACTGCTCGTCCTTGGTGGGTCACCACCTCACAGGACCTTGGTTTCCCCCAAAGTAAAACGCTGGAGGGGGACTCTGAGGTCCCTTTCAGCTTTAAGTTCAGAACCTCGTGCTCCTCTAGTCCACCCCCTCCCTCTGCAGAGGAAGCACTGAGGCCGCTGGACGCTAGGTGATCGGTGTGGGGTCACACAGGTAGCAAGCATCCTGTCCTGACCCTCTCTCTTTCCCACTCTCAGAAGTACCTCAGGAGGCGGAAGTACTCCCTGTTTGCCACCTTCTACTCGGCCACCATGCTTCAGGATGTCGATGACGCCATACAGTTTGAGGTCAGCATTGGTAATTATGGGAACAAGTTTGACACGACCTGCCTCCCGCTGGCCTCCACCACCCAGTACAGCCGGGCTGTCTTTGATGGTAAGGCCTGGGGCTGAGAGTCCCCTGGGGCAGCAGTGGAGCAGGAGAGACCCCCAGACTGGGGTGCGGGGAGCTGGGCCCTGGGAGGTGGATGAGGGGAGAGCAGGGCCTGGACACGGGGGAGCCCGTGTGACGTGTGGGAGGAAGGGGAGTGGTTGGGATTTCCTTTAACTCATCCTTCTTGCTCACCAGGTGCTAAGCTCTGTCCTCTCTTCTGCTGGAGGCTTGTTTAGACTGCAAGCTCCTTGGGGGCAAAGACTGTCTTTTGCCTCTTTTTGTATCCCCAGTGCTTAACACGATGCCTGGCACTTAATAAATGTTTACTGAATTGAACTGAACTTCAAGTGTCTAAATTTGGTACCTTGGAGCCACGGTCTGCTGACCTGCCCTAGTAATGGCTTTGGAGAACGAGATGTGATGGGAGCAGGAAGGACAGAAGAGCCCTGGGGGAAACCCAAAGCGCCCAGACCTAATAGGGGTTCAGTCCTTTTTGATGTCAGCCTTTCCCTCTCCTCTCCTCTCCCTCCTCCTCCCCACTGTCTCCCTCCTTCTCCCTCCCCTCCCTCTCTCCTTCCTCTCCCTCCCCACTCTCCTTCTCTTCTTCCTTCTCCCTCCCCTCCTTCCTTCTCTGTCCCCTCCCTATCTCCTTCCTCTCCCTCCCTGGTCTCCCTTTCTCCCTCTTTCTCTCCTTCCTATCTCTTTCTCCTTCTGCCTCCCCCTCTCTTCTTCCTTCTCCCTCCTTACTCTCTCCCTCCTTCTCTCCTTCCCTCCTCTCTCTCCCTCTCTCCCTCCTTCTCCCTCCCTTCCCTCTCCCTCCTTCTCTCCTCCCCTCCTTTCTTTCCCTCTCTCCCTCCTTCTTCCTTCCCCTCCCCATGCTCTCTCTGTCTCTCTCTCTCTCCTTCTTGCTCCCCACCTCCCCCTTTCCTTCGTGTAGTCTTAGTTACCCAGGACCTGAAGGGTTCAGTGACTGACCAGGGTCACACAGCCAGTGTATGTCAGAGGCAGAACCCGAACCCAAGGCCTGTGACCTGCGGTGCATGCTGGTAAATGTTTAACAACCGTTCTCTGAAAACGCAGGGCACCCTTTTAAATTTAATCTGCAATATCCACATTGTCTATATAGCTTTCTTAAGTCTAGACGATCAGCCAGGCAATGAATCAGGCCCTGATTGGTAGCGTTTGTCACTATGCCTGCACTGAACATTTAACTGTCACCTCTCAGGAGCCCACAAGAGCTGGCAGGCCCCAGGAAGCCCCTGCCCCTTCAAAGTGCCCTATGGATGGGGAGCCCCATCATTTCTTCACTGCAGCTTGAGGATCCGGTCTTTCTTCTTCTCTCGATCCTCATCCTCCCCTATTTCTGATGGGTCCCACTGTCCTGTGCCCCTCCTGGTGCTGGGCCCTGGAGTCCCTGCTGGCCGAAGCCTCGGTCCTCAGCCGGGCATCTTTGCCAGATGAGGCCTGGCCCTCTCCCCTTCCCTGCCGCTGCCTGACCAGGGCAAGCAGGAGCCTGCAGCTGGGGATGAGGGCACAGCTGGGCCGGCGTTCTCAGAGCGCTCTCCACCAGCTGGCCCTTGTTGACTCGGGCACTCGGCCCAAACCACCAGGGAGGTTGCCCTGGGCCACATCTGTGGCATCCGTCAAGGCTGGCAAAGGGATGGGGTATGCTCGTGTTGTTCACTCATTGCCAAGGCCAACATGTTTTGGTATGCCAATTCTTTTGATGGCTAAGAAACCCTCACATGGACAGCAGCCTCCAGTTAAGTGAGTGGCCCATTGGGTGACTGAACAAGGATCAACCTAGGCAGAGGTTTGGTCACTGATGAGCAGAGGGGCATCCTGGAGGGGGGAAGTCCAAAAGGACATCACTCTCATGCCCCAGGATGCCCAGAATTGTGAGGGGCTGCCCTTATTTCCTCCTATCGCCATACTCAGTCCAGCTTCCTTCTTTCCTCTCCTCTTTCCAGGATGTCACTACTACTACTTGCCTTGGGGCAACGTGAAGCCCGTGGTTGTGCTGTCTTCCTACTGGGAGGATATCAGCCACCGGACAGACACACAGAACCAGCTGCTGAGCATCGCGGACCAACTGGTGAGCCCCACGTGCCCCAACCCTCCTGAGCCTCTGCCCTTTCTGTCCAGTGCAGGCAAAAGACTGTGGACATGGAGGAGAGAAGGCTCAGAGGGCGCATGCTAGGGGCCTTTGAATATTCAGGCGGTCAGATTTCCCAGAGGACAGAGCACATGATAATGGCCCTTACCCCGCCTCCCAGAGTTGTTGTGAGGCTAGAATGAGATGATACTTTTACAAACCTTAAACTACTATGGAAATGCTAGCTATTATTGTCATTGTTATTATTTAGGAAGCTCTTATGGGATAGAGGGGTCAGCCTGGTTCTGCTTAGTGCCTGAACTATGGATAACGGGGAGAAGTTCCCAAGAAGCATATTTAAGCTTGTTATATCAACCTCTTTGGCCTTCACTTTCCTAACCTATAAAATGAGGGGGTTAGATTAGCAGCACCCTAGCAGTGGTTAGGATTGCCAAGGGGAAGGACGAGGAGAGGGAGGCTTATGACGTTTGGGGAGAATGCCTACACTTAGGATTCGGGAGGAGAGAGAGGAGGGATGGTCACAGAGTGGGAGGAGAATCAGGGAAGCCAATGACAGAGAGCTTTAAGAAGAGGAGGCTGAAGAACCAGTGATGAGGTATTGGAAGAATCATCCGTGTAATGGGGATCAAGCTGTGAAGAGCCTTGAATGCCAGGGAGGGGAGTTGGAACTCAGTTCTAAAATAAGCAACAGGAGTCATTGGAATTTTTTTGTGTGTGTGTGGCTAGGCAATGGGGTTAAGTGACTTGCCCAGGGTCACACAGTTAGTAAGTGTTATGCATCTGAGGCCAGATTTAAACTCTGGTCCTCCTGAATCCAGGGCTGGTGCTCTATCCACTGTGCCAGCTAGCTGCCCCTGGAATTTCTTGATTGGAGCTGGGGAGAGGGAGACCTAGTGAACTCAGTAGTACTTTATTTTTTTTTTTAATTTTTAAAATTTATTTTGATTTATCAATAATCACTTCCATACGCTCTTGAGTTTAAAATTTTTCTCCCCCTTCCTCCCCCCCCTCCCCAAGATGGTGCACAATCTGATATAGGCTATACATTTACATTCCTATTAAACGTATTTTCACATTAGTGAAGTTGTAAGTAAAACTTAAAACCAATAGGAGGAACCATTCAGTAGTACTTTAGTCAGGGACTCTGCTTCCCTTCTTTTCTTTTAAAAATGTTTCATTATCTTTTGTTGTTACGTTGCGAACATTCCCCCTCGCCCTCTCTCAGAGAGCCGCAAGGAGGAGTAACGAAAGAGAAAGTCAACCAGCCCAGTGTGCTGTCATGCGTGGCCATAGCCTCCTCCCTTGGCCAAGAAGGGAGGGCGCTACCTCCTTTCTTCTTGAGGACCAGTGGTTCTCGCTGGTCACGATGACTCGGCAGCCATGCTGGTGGTGGTAAATGAATACATTTACATCTTTGGGGCCGTCACTGATCTTGTTTGCTTGGCTCTGTTGACTTTACTCGGCATCCATTCATCCATTCATCTAACTCTTTTCATGCCTCCCCATGGCCGTCCTGTTCACCCGTTTCTTATAGCCAAGCGATATTCTACTACATTTGTGTGCCCCAACGAATTTAGCCATTTGTATTGGGGTAGATGGGTCCTTTCTTTGGATTTTGATCTTCCTGGGGGGCATATGAGCTTTCTGTTTCATTAAACAGAGCTTTCTGTTTTAATAAGTTATACTTTATTTATAAGTCAGTCCGTCAATAAGCATTTGTTAAGCACCAGCTATACCCCAGGTACTATGCTAGGTGCTGAGCATACGAAAGAGGGCATGGCTTCTGCCTTCCCCCAAGGAGCTGCTCACAGATCTAATGGGAGACAACGTATCAAAAAATGTGCATGTGTGAAAGAGAAACTGGGTCGTGCCTGGGGGTGTACAGTGAAATGGGAGTGGGGGCTGTCAGGCCCTTTCCTCTTGTGGTCATTCAGTCTCTCTCTTTGCCCTCCCCCGGGGGACCTCTAGGAAGCCGGCTTGAATAAGGTCCACGTAGCCCTCAAGGCTCAGTTCTCGGCAGAAAACCTTGATGGCCTGGTGGCCGAGGTGATTGACAACCTCATCTCTGACTGCAGGTATTTATTGCTTTTCTCACCTCTTCTCCCTTCCCCCGCCTCCCCCCCTCATCATCCCTGACGCTCAGTCTGTCTGTCCTGAGTGGGAGTGCAGGGGGTGCTCGGCTGGACGGAGCGTGCCTGGCCGCCTACTGCCTTCAGAGGTTTCAGAGCCAAGGCACGAAGTTGAAAAGGTGATACTTAGAGCAGGTCATAAATCTCCCGGCTGCCGCTGCCGGTCTGCGCCTGTCCTGGGCCCACCTGAATGGGCAGCATTGTGTCTCTGATTGGGATCCCTCATGGGATCTCCAGGAGACGCTGGCAGCCGCGCCTTGGCCCCCTCTTGCCTTGCTGGGGATGGCGCTGGGGGTGATCTCTGTGTCCCCTCCCAAGATGACGCAGAGGACCGGTTTTGTTTAGCCTCTCATCGGACAAGGCTGGCTGTTCGTTTGAGCAAAAGGGAGGCAGGGAGGGCAGTATCAGAGAAATCAGATGAGATCAGGGGTCGAGAGTCGGCTCTGAATTGGTAGGACACAGATGGCAGCACAGGACAGGATCAAATGGAATGACGTTGATAAAACGCTGAGCAAGTGCCCGGCATGTAGTAGGCACTCTTCAAACACGTGTTGCCTTCCCTTCTCACCCTGAGTCTGTGAAATGAAGGCTGGAATAGAAGAGAAGTGAGGGGTGTGTCGGAGCTGATGGTCCACCCTCTGTACCTTAGGAGACTGTCTTAGGGAGTCCTCCGAGCTTCAGGGAGGCTAAGAGACTTGTCCGCGGTCATACAGCCGTAGGTGCCCAAGGCAGGATTTGAACCCAGGTCTTTGTGGCCCCAAGTCTGGGGCACTATTCCCTGGGCTGGGCTAGGCTTTCCCTTGTGTAAAATTGCGCATTTGTGTCAGCGGGCTCACGGAGGAGCGCACCAGTGTGCGTGTGGGGGGTCTCTGGTTGTCTCCCCGCCTCCCTGAGGAGGCAGAATGGGGTGGAAGGAAGAGAGGCTGGCCCAGAGCTACCCATGAAAACACATGGTCTTGCAAATGCTGCACGCCGTGATCTTCTCACTCACTCATTCATCCGTTTATTCACGAAGATTTATTGAGCAAACGGCTGTGTTTGGAGAGCTCTGAGCTAGCGCTGGGCGGGTATGGGGAAGCCGGGCCATTCCGGGCTGTCGGATGCACACGTGCGCGGTCCACCCTGGGCAGGCGGTCGGTGCGCAGAGCCGCACGCGGCTTCACCCGCTGGTCAGGCGCCTGCTCGTTAACGGGCCAGTACGCGGTCGGGATTCAAGGGCAAACAGTCCCTGCCCTCAAGACGCTGCCGTTCTGCTGTCTCCCTTTTGGGAGATGCTCCATTGCTGCTGTCCCTCACCCCTCAGCTGCTTCTCCCGGGACAATGTCAGCTCCCAGAGGGCAGAGATTCAAGTTTTTGTCTCTGGATCCCCAGTGTCTGACATATTGATCGATCACAATCAATCCAACGAGCATTTATTAAGCGCCTACTACGTGTTAGGCATTGTGCAAAGCACTGGAGTTACAAAGATAAAAACTAAACACTCCCTGCCCTTGGGGAGCTGACGTTCCATCCGGCAGACGATATTCCCCGGATATAGATGAAAAGTTCTCAATCACTTAAGAAATGTTTGTTGATCGACTGATGGATGACAACAGGAGCTGCAGTTCTGGGAGGGCTGAGGCGCTTCCTCCCTCCTTTCCCTAATGGAGGCTAACTTCGACAACCTGATTGAAAGAGCACTGAACTGTCAGTGAGCAAGCATTTATTAAGCACCTGCTGTGTGCCAGTCACTGTGCTAAGGTCTGAGAAAACAAATACAAGAACAAAGAAAGACAGCCCCTGCCCTCAGAGAGCTGACATTCTAAGGGAAGCAGCTGAAAAGTGGGGAGGGGAGGAGGAAGAAGGTACCCGGAGGCGAAAGGGCATGGCAGAGAAGTCCAGAGGAGTGAAGCCTGGTGGGAAACACTTGGGCTCTCTGCTCTGATACTAGCCTTTGTTTTCACTGCTGGAGGAAGAGAGGGTTGGGCTCCTGGGATTGCCAAGGAGCCTTAGAAGTCAGTGAGGCCAACTGCCTCATCTGTCAAATGAAGCTTAGTGATCTGCCTGGGCTCACACAGCCAGTAAGTTTGAGGCAGGATTCGAACCCATATCTAGCACCCTATGTGTTGCACCACTCTCAGTTCTGAGAGCCCAAGACTTGGCCTCCATTTGACGCTGTTTCAACTCAGCCACAATTTCACTGAGTTGACTTTGTGACTGTGAGCCGGTCATTTTCCTTCTCTGAGGCCTCGGTTTCCCCCTCTGTAAAATAGTCCCTTGTCTCTGCAACATGACATTTTTGGGGTTTGGGTGGGGTTGTCTTTAAGACTCCTTCAGCCCCCCCCCCCAGTAACAATTCCTGGTTAGATTTCTGTCTGACACCAGCTGGGTGACCCCGGGCAGGTGACTTGGCCTCTCTGAGCCTCAGACAGCTTTCTCAGACTGTCGCCTGCTGAGGTGTGCAACCTCCGCCTGCCCCCACACATGCCTCTCATCACCCGTCTGCCCCTGGGGAGCTCCCCAATGGGCAGGAAGGACGCAGACAGAAGCGAAAACTTCCCCAGGAGCTTAGGGGAGAAATTCTGTCTAGAAACACAGAGATTGTGTCTCCCATCAGACCAGGCCCCCAGCAGGGGCTTTCAGCTCAGGGTCAGGGGCTCCCCGATGCCGGGGGCTGGGTCTCCCCATTCAGACCCTTGATGTCTTGGCTTCTTCTGATGCCGCCGGAGGTGGAGGGCTCCAAGGCTTTGTCCCAGACGTCTTTGTGGGATTGTTTCGAGGTGTTTTCATATCCTGTAGACAATTCCTGTCCCTGTTTCCAAAGCCAGACAGAACATTTGCGGGGACTCCGTTACCTTTGGTAGCATCCACTCTTCTTTTTGCATAGCCATCCCCCCACCCCATCTTCCTGGGTAGATAACCGAGTGGTGACTGTCCTGGCCCTCCCCACCTTCCCTGGCATCGGCCTCCTCTTGGAGTTTTCCTGTTGATCAGCAGGGGCCCAGGTCTCTCCTTGGACTGGGGGGTTGCCAGGTATTTGCTCAGAGAGCCTTGGCTGGGCTCATGGCCTCCCTGAAAACCTCCCCTCTGTGGCCGATCTCTCAGCCTCCCCCACAGCTGCTGTCCCTTTGCCGGAGACATAAATCACCAATGCAGGCTTCTTCTTCCAAGCGGCTTCCTGAGCTTCTCTTCAGCGGCCCCAGGAAGGGTCTGCTCCCAAACTGGCAGGCCAGGGGTACCTGGCTGGAGGTCACTGTTTGGTTCCTTCTGGGAAGGACCCCCAAGTGCCGAGCTGGAGCAGCGGAGAGGACCCCCGCCCTCCCGCTTTCCCCAACCCTTCCCAGCAAGCACCAGAGCTTCCTCTTGGCCAGGCTGTGCTGTGCTACGTGACCCAAACCAGGCCCTGGGGCTTAGGTTTCCCCAAGATGGAGCTGGCTCTCGGTTCCCCCTCCCTGCCCACCCCCCTTCAAAATTCAATTAAAAAAAATAACAGGAAAAATGTCGTGAGGCTGAAGGCTGCCAAGGCAGCGTATCTGGCGGGCGGGCAGGCGCTGGTGCCGCTCGGGCGGTAATTGCTTCTGCATAGCTTGGGGAGATTGGCAGAGAAATAAATCAGTGTGGAGCCAGGAGCGGGGAGCCCAGACAGGGCTGCTGCTGCTGCCTCTGCTGCAGAGGGGAAGGGCAGGACGGGACAGGGTGGGTGGCTGGCTGACCGTCCCCTGGAGTGGGGGGACGCTGGGCATGGCTGCCTGGGCTGAGCTGGGGGCTGGGGCTGGGGGTGCAGGCAGCCCCCTTTCCTCCCTTTCCACACCAGCATCCCCTGGCGCTCTTCTGAGGATGCCCAGGAGGAGTGGGTGGGTGAAACCCCCGGTCTGCACAGACTTTAGTCATTCAGACCTCCCCTTCATCTGGAAGGGAACCCCCCCACCCCCGGGCAAGGACCCTAGATCACAGGGCCTCAGACTTGGGGTGCTTATGGTCCCCTTCCAAGAGGGAGCCTTTTTCCTAATGGGGAGCAAATGCTTCCCCCTCCCCCTTCAGGGAACCCCTAGTCTGGGGAGAGCTATCAATACCCCATTCAGTCTCCTCCCTACTACACTTTGTGAGGTTCTGTTTCTGGTTCTTGGTCTCACCAACCTGGGGGATCCTCAGGGCCAGAGGTGTGGCTGGAGGGGTGTACTGGTCTTCAGGGGGTTAGCCTGAAGCTATCCTCAGCCATTAGCCTTCCCGGTCTGCCTGCCACGGCCTATCAAAGTAGACATAGAACTTAGTCATTTAAACAGGAGTGCCTGACTGCAGTGTGTCCAGCCCTTTGCTCACTTATGTTGAGGGTTCAAATCTGGCCACGGACACTTACTGGCTATGTAACCCTGGGCAAGTCGATAGACCACTTTTTGCCTCAGTTTCCTCAACTGTGAAATGGAGATAAAAATAGCACTTTCTTTCCAAGGTTATTGTGAAGCTCAAATGGGATAATATTTGTAAAGTGATAAGTAGAGTACTCAGCGCTAGTAGGCAGAGAGCAATCAATGAAGCACCTACTGTGTGCTGAGAACTGTGCTAAGTGCTGGGGATACAAATGTGTAAATTCTAGCTGCCATTATTATCCTCATTTTACAGACGAGGTTGAAGTGACTTGCCCAGGGTCACACCACTAGTGAGTGACCAGGTGTGGTCTGAGCCCAGATATTCCTGATTCCAAATTCAGAGCCCCATCTACAAAAGGCCTCGTGGCGGGCCATAGTGGAAAGACAGTTGGCCTTGGAGGCAAGAGAGGGAGGTTCAGGTCTCAGCTCTACCACCCACTAGCCCGTGAAACTGAGGGTTTCCCTTCAGGGTTCTGAGACTCAGTTTCCTCATCTGTAAATGGGAATAATAATACCACACAACCTACCTGCCGCTGTGTTTTTATGGAGAAAGCACTTGGTAAACCTTATTAAAAAAAACAGACATTTTACTGATGCTTTTGAAAGACGTTTCTGTCATTTTCCAGTTGGACCCTGAGCAAAACGAACCCCTTTGTCATGTCTGACCACGTCTGCCTCGCTCTGCCCCGGGAATCCCCCCACCTCTTCCCTGAGAGGAGGGAGGAGGCATGTTTGTTCCTGGCATCACACCTGTGCCTGTTGTCTCTCCCCCCACGGACAGCCAGCCTCTGGTGGACGTCAGGGAGAAGCCTGCAGCTACGCACCTGGACCACTACCTGTACCGACTTCGGACCAGCAACCTGACCCAGATCATGCACGCCGCCCTCGAGCTAAAGCACGCCAGCGCCTGTGACGATCTGACTGTGGCCCTGGAGCAGGCGGAAGACTGGCTTCTGCGGCTCCGGGCCCTGGCCGATGAGGTAGCCTTGGGTGGGGTCAGTCGAGCGATGTTAGCGCTGGAAGAGGCTTCTTTGGGATCAGAGCCCATTCTGTTTCTTCCTCGTCAATGAGGGTTGGGGGTTCAAGGCCTAGATTTCCTTTGGGGTCTCTTCTATCTCTAACTCTCTGCTTCTCTGTACTATCTTGGGCAAAACACTTGTCCTTTTTGATCTTTTCCTTTCTCATCCCTAGACTAATGTTGATAATGGTACCTGTCTTCCAGGACCCTGGGAAGACAACATGAGAATATTTGTCAAGTTCTTTGCTGTCCTTAAATACTGCTATGTAAAGGCTAGCTGGCAGCTACTTACCAGTCTCTGCTCTGCAGTATTAAAGGCTTTCCTTATCCCCTTTTCTCACAAGGTCACCAGGACACCCCCTGGAACATTCCCCCTTCCCTTCTCTCTTTGGACCACTGGCCCTCAAAGGGGTTAGATATTCACAAGAGAATGTAAGCACCCTGAGGGAAATATTTCTTCTGTTATTGTATGTCTAAACGCCTCCCTCATCCTAGTAGGTGCCTTGTAGACGCTTGCTTATTGATTGATTTATGGATTGATTGAAGAGAAGAGCAGTCACAGAAATCTGAGACTGCTAGAACGTTACCTGTTTAGGAGATCAAGCTTCCTAAGTAGAAATGAGTCTACTATCCTAGGATTGAAATTGAGCCAGAATGTCCCATGGAAGTCCTGGGATGGCAGGACCATGAATTGAGAGCTGCAAGGGAGTTTAGAAGGTATTCAGTCCAAGCCTCATTCATTTTGCAGGTGAGGAAACTGAGGCCCAGAGCTTGAAGACCTCCTTTGAGGTGCAGGAGCCAGGGCTGCCAGGCAGATGGGATATGGGGCAGAGGCCAGTTCTCCTCTGGGGAGACAGGAAGTTCCCTTTGGAGGGGGGCTGGAGACCCCCCTGGGGGAGGTTGGAGACCCCTATGAGGGAGGCTGGGGGGCTGGGAGGTAGTAGGAGAGGTTGTTGATTTATTGCAGTCTGTGCTGAGGTAGAGATTTGGAGGATGAAGGGAAGAGGGAAGGCTGGGGAGAAGAATTTCCGGAGGAGTTAGCTCTCCCAAAGACTGGGGAGGGTTGGAAGTAGGGAGAATTCCAAAGCAGAAGGAAGGCTTCCAGAAACATTCATCCTCTAAAGCTAACTTTGGACTCCTTCCCTGTGAAAAGGAGCTCATGCCTGCAGCTTGTTAGCTCAGTGGTTAGATCCTGGTCCTAATGAGGCCAGGGTTATGGCTTTAGTCTCTGTTTGGGCCACGTAGTTATAAGGAAGAAAACTGCTCTGTGACCCCAACAGATGCCTCCTTCCCCCACCTAGCTCTGTGACCCCAGATGGATGCATCCTTCCCCTACCTAGCTCTGTGACCCCAGACGGATGCCTCCTTCCCCCCACCTAGCTCTGTGACCCCAGATGGATGCCTCCTTCCCCCTCCTAGCTCTGTGACCCTAGACGGATGCCTCCTTCCCCCACCTAGCTCTGCGACCCCAGACAGATGCCTCCTTCCCCCTCCTAGCTCTGTGACCCCAGACGGATGCCTCCTTCTCCCTCCTAGCTCTGTGACCCCAGATGGATGCATCCTTCCCCCACCTACCTCTGTGACCTTGGGCGAGTCACTAACACCTTTGTTTGCCTCAATTTCCTCAAGTGCAAAGTGGGGATCATAATAGCACATACCTCAGGATTTTTTTGAGGATTAAATGAGATAATATTTGTTTTGGCTCACAGTAGGCACTATCTATCTATCTATCTATCTATCTATCTATCTATCTATCTATATCTATCTATCTACACACATACATATAAATGCATATTCCCTTTTGGTTACAAGTAGACCCCCTGATCTTGGCCATAAATTGACCCCTCATCCTAGTCACAGACTTATCCCTTAATCTCTGCTAGAGAAAGGACTTAATCTGGGGCATAGATTGAACCTCAATTAAACCCAGGTCAATAAGCATTAATTGAGCACCATCTGTATGTTAGGTATTCTGATGGGCACTGGGGATATAGCCCCTGCTTTCGAGGGACTTACATTCTCCTGGGAGAGGGGGCATATGTATAGGGCTAAGTATGTATACAATAATTTTTCCTTTGCCTGAATCAGTGATTTCACGAGGAGAGGCACAGGAACTCTCATGTCATATCAGGACCTTCTTCTACTGGGACCAATGAGCACTTTGTTGACAATTTATAATGCTAGCCTGTAATAATTAAGTGACCTGCCCAGGACAATGCCTTCAATATGAGTCAGAGGTAGGATCTGATCCCGGGTCTTCCCTGGCTCTAGGGCCAGATTGCTATCCATTCCCAGGCTGTCAAGCTCATCCCTGTGGCTGACCTAGAAAATCACAAATTAACATGAACTATGCCATATTTGTACTTATTTAGTTAAATATTGCCCAATTACACTTTAATCTGGCTCGGGCTGTGAGTCTGACACTTCTGCAATGTAACACATGGGCCTTTCTCCTACAAAATTATATAGAGAAATATGTAATTATGCAGAGAAATCATTTCAGGGGCCGCACCCAATAGCTAGAGGGATCCAGAAAGAGGGATACACCGCCCCAACCCTGTGGGTCCACCTCCCTCAGGAGATACCTTAGTTATACTTTGAAGGAAGCTAGAGGTCCTATGAGGGAGGGCATCCCAGGCATGGGAACAGCCTGAGCAAAGTCATGGAGGTGGGAGATGGAATGTCACATATGGGGAATGTCAAGAAGGCCAGTCTGTCTGGAATACAGAGTTTTGAGGAAGATTCACATGCAGTCATGGATAGAGCGCTGGGCCTGGAGTCAGAAAGATCAGAGTTCGAATATGGTCTCAGACACTGCCTAGCTGTGTGACCCTGGGCAAGTCACTTCACCCTGTTGGCCTCAGTTTCCACCTCTGTGAAATGGGGATCCTCATAGCACCTGCCTCCCAGGGTTATTGTGAGATCCAGTAAGATGGTGGATGTGAAGTGCTTTGCAAGCCTTCAAGAGCTATGTGAAAGTTAGTTTTCGTTAGCAATAAAGATTTACTGAGTTCCTCCTATGTGCCTAGACCTATGTTTCACACTGTGGGAGAGACAGGAAGAGGATCAGATGGGGAAGGGTCCCTCATTGGCACCTGGCCAGGAGTCCCCTCTCCAACAAGTCTGACAAGTGTTTGCCTCTATCAAGGTTTCTATCAAGGGATGGAGGCAGATCGGCATCGTTATCAAGCTTATCCTGGCACCGAGGCTGAATGAGAGGAGGGAGACGTGAATGTGGGCAGGGGGTGGCCTGGGAAGCGTACTGGAGGACGCTGGCCTGGAAGGAGGAGGAGGCGGCTCCAGTTAGGTTGTTTTCAAGAGTCATTCAGGCCGTCCACGGCAAGCAGGGATGTCCTCCCCAGCTCAGTCTGGTCATGGGTCCTTGATTCAAGGGATGAAAGGATCCTCCCTCCATGCTCTGGGATTCTGTTGGTTTGAAAGCTCTTTTCACTGATACCGTTATACCTGACCGGTCATTCTTGAGTTGCTGGAGCCCAAGATTTCATGAGCTTGTGGCCAGCCCTGTAAGGCCACTCACCAAGTCTCATCTTCAGACACCATGTCACAGTTGGAAGAGATCTCAAAGGTCTTTTACCTGAACAAAAAGTCCCCTCCATCCCTGCCTCCCCGGGGGTCATCTAGTCTTTGCTTGGAGAAACTCACCCCCCAACAGAGGGGAACCCTTTCCTGCTCCTTTCACTTTGAACATTGATCTAATTGTTGGGAAATTTGTTTGTTTTTTTCCCATAAGAATAGAGATAGAACCCGTGATTTTGATGGTATAAGGAACTCCCAGGTGAGGGACTGCCTTCCACCAATGCAAGTGGGCACCCTCTCTGCAACTGAATAGTCTTAGAGCCAAGAGCACTGAGATATTAAGTGACATTACCCACGGTCACATAGCTAGCATGTGTCAAAGCGGGGACTTGAACCCAGGTCTTCCTGGACGTGAAGCTAGCTCTCTAGGGGCAGCTAGGTATTACCCTGGAGTCAGGAAGACCAGAGTTCAAATATGGTCTCAGATACTTCCCAGCTGTGCAACCTGGAGCAAGTCATTTAACCCCTGTTTGCCTCAGTTTCCTCATCTGTAAAATGGGGATAATAATGGCACCTACCTTCCAGGACTGTTATGAGGAGTAAATGAGATAATATTTGCGAAGAATTAAGCGTAGCACCTGGTATCCAGTAGGCACTATATAAAGGTTAGCTTTTATCATTATCATTATTATTATTATTACCCATTCCTCCGGGGATTTTTCTTTTCCTATTATAGAGCCTAAATCTTGTCTCCCCATCTCTTCCAACCCAGTGCTTTTAATTCTGCCCTCTGGGGCCAAGTGGAATAAATGGAATTTCTTCAGATTCTTGAAGGTGGCTCTCATGTCCTTCCTAAACAGTCCAAGACCCAGCCCCTGCCCTCTGGGCACTTCCAGTCTCTGAAAAGCCGTGAGAGGACAATGGAGGAAGGCAGGAAGGCTCTGGGACCAGACTGTGGTCTAGACTTTGAAGTGTTCCATTTCAGGGAGGAGGGCAGGATGCGCTCCATGGGAAAGGCTTCCCGGAGAAGGTGGCCTTGCAGGATGGTTGGGATTTGGCAAGGTGGGCTGAGGGAGGGAGGCTGCCAAAGATGTCTGGGCTGGCGTTGGGCCGTGGGGGCCCCTCGCCGGGGCTCACAGCATCCCCCATTGTTCTCCCCCTTCCCCACCCTAGCCTCAGAACAGCCTGCCCGACATAGTGATCTGGATGCTTCAGGGGGACAAGCGCGTGGCTTACCACCGTGTGCCAGCCCACGAGATCCTCTTCTCCCGGAACGGGGCCAAGTGCTGTGGCAAGAACTGTGGGAAACTGCAGACGATTTTTCTGAAAGTAAGTCTTTCTCCCCTGGGGTCCTGGGTGGCTTAGCACTCCCCTGGCTTTCCTGGACTGGAGACCCCACCTCCCACTCGCCACTCTGAAGACAGTGGGCCTGGGGGAAAGCCAGATACCCCAGGGATATGGGCAAGAACTCTCTGAAAACGGCCCCCTGCCCCCTCAGCACCCCCAAGCACCCCAAACCCCGCCACCTGAGAGACAGTCTATTGGGCAATGGGCTCCTCTGGTCTCGTGTATGTAGAGCCAGAAGGAACCTCAGAGGGCATCCAGTCCTAGCCCCTATTTTACAGAGGAGTAAACTGAAGCACAGAGAGGGAGGAAGGCCAAGATCACACAGCTAGTAAGGAGCAGATCCAGGATTTGAATCCTAGTCAGAGGATCCTAGAACTAGCGCTGGAAGGGGCCCCCAAGGCCATCAGACCCAGTGTACTCATTTTACAGATGAGGAAACTGAGGCACAGAGAGAGACAATTTGCTCAAAGTCACAAATTAGTAAGCAGCCTTGTCAGGATTCGAACCCAGTTCCTCTGACTCAAGCCCAGCACTTTTTTTGTGACTCCCAACTGTCTCATATATTACTGTGTCCTGTGGTTCTCTGCATGTGTAGAACTATAGCATTTAGAGACGGGGAAAAAAAAAACCAAACCTTGGAGATTATCTAGTCTAACTCCTGGTAAGTTACAGATAGGGAAACTGAGGCCCAGAGAGAGAATCCTAGATTTTGGACGTATAAGAAAGGAACCTTAGAGGTCATAGAGTCCAATTCCTTCATGCAGGGAAGTTGTCCAAGGCCATGAAGGTAGGAAGAGACAGTGTCAGAATCTGAACTCAGGATCCAAAGCCAGTTCTTTTTATGGTCTTCAATGGAGGGACTGCTTATTTTCTTCGGGGGGCTCCTTGAGGGGGGGCCCAGGCCTCCTCTAACTGACTTGGGGGTGTCAGAGGGTAAGGGTCACATTGGGAACAGGAAGGCACCCCTGCCTTCCGGTACCATTCTGTGGTCCACCAGGGTTCTGGCCTGGGTTTGGGTCCTCCACAAACCCCCCGCTGTGGGGAGAAGGGGCCTGGGGGCTGCACGGTCTGAGAAGAGAACACTCCCTCTTTGGGAGCAGCTAGCCACGGACCTGGGCCTTCCTCACCCTCAAGGTTTCTGGTCCGCGGCTAGCTTTTCTGTTTATTCTCCTGCATCCCCTCTGCCCCTTTGGGAGGGGTCTGCCCGGCCACTCAGCAGGGGAGCAGGTGCTCGGCGCTGGGGCCAGCTGCCTTGTAGCCAACACTCTCTGTGGGCCGCCCACAGGCTCATTAATTTGGAGAAAAATCCGACAAGGCCGATTTGGCCCCAAGAGCATGTGGTCAGGACATGGGGCTGTTGGGCTGGCCAGGCTCTTAGACACCAGAATCCCGGGGCTCTTTTGTGGGGACAGGAGGGGGTGCCTCTCACAGGCAGAGCTGGAAGGGATGTCAGGACCCCCTCATTCCATGGAGGAAGAAGCCGGTTCAGCCGAGACAGAAGGACTTGTCAGTGTGTGTCTCTGCCTCACTGACTTCTCCCTAGAGCAGAGCTCAGGTTAATCAGAGAAAACTTCCCGGAAGAAAAGTCAGCATCACGGAGCAGAAAGAATGCCCCGTTTGGCATCCGAGGCTCAGGTTCAAATCCTGGCTTCGTCCCTTCCTTTTGCTCGACCTGGGGTGAACCCATGCCCCCGGGCCTCAGTTTTCTCCTTTGTAGAATGGGGAGGGTTCTAAGGTCCCTTTAGCACTGCGTTTTGCGGGGAAGGGGATTATGGAGTGAGCCCTGTGGCAGGGACCCAGGCTATGGCTCCGACCCCCAGACCCCACAGCATCAGGGAAATCTAAGCTGAAGATTTACCCTGGCTCCAAGTGTGAGAAAAAAAATAGAGGGAAAATTGTTCCTCTGAGTCTTCCCCACTCAGCTCATGAGCTTCTCCAGAGTGTCCTGAGTAAACGGAGAAAAAATGTTGGCGGGGAGCGGAGACCAAAAAAACATTGGTGTTTCTCCTCTTCAGCCGAGGTCGGAAAAAATGATCGGCGGCCCAGAGAGCAGAACCCCAAAGTAGACATTTCTCCAATTGTCGGAGCTATTTTGGGGAGAGCGGGCTGGCTGGGGGGGTGGGCCCCAGGGAGCCCGGTGGTGGGTGGGAATTCCAGCTGTCTCTGTTTGGGGGGGGGAAAGGACACAGCTGAGTGATGAGTGAGAGAATGAGCGATGGGGGGATATTTCCACAGTCAGAGGCTTGTGCTGTGGGGGGTGCGGGCAACATCTGGGCCAGCGGCCTCTCCTTTCCCCGAGGAGGTGAAAGCAAGTGCCGCTCAGGCCGGCAGGGGTGGTGAAGGGAGGGTATGAAATAAGAGCAGCCCTCCCCAAAGAGGCAACAGGGACGGGGCCCAAAGACCTGGGTTCAAGGTCCGGCTCCATCACGCGCTGCCGCCACTTTGGGGGGGGGCAGCAGTGAGCGAGCCTCTTCTCCTATCTGAGCCTGTTTCCTCCTTGCCTGGCTTCCTCATGGGGCCGTTGTGAAAATCAAGTCAGGTCTTGATGTAAATAAAGTATTCTGCCTGTGGATAGCTCTGAGACTCGTGGGGGCAATACGTAAGAGCATGTTTACAGCTGGACAGGATCTCAGGGGCCATTCAGCTCAGCCCTGTCTTAAATGAATGAATGAATGAATTAAAATAATTATTAATCGCCTACTATGGGCCAAGCACTGTGCCAAATGCTGGGGACGGGAATACGAAAGCAAAGACATCTCCTGCCCTTAAAAGGCTTACAGTCTAATGGGGAAGAAAAAGGGGAGTGGGGACCAAGGTAGAGTCTGAAAGTTACAAGGTTGGTAAGTGAGGTCATAGGGAAGTAGGTTGACACACCCCTTCTAGCCAGGTGAGGAAGTGGAGCCCAGGGAGTTAAGGGTTAACACAAAGTCACTGAGCTATTAACTGTAAGAGGTGACATTTGAACTCAGGTCCTCCAACCTGGCTCTCCTGCTGTACCACACTGTTAACTAGAAAGCGCCTCTCCCCAGGTTAAGCGACTTGTCCAAGGTCACACAGGTGATGCGTGGCTACTAAAAGATGACAAATAGTAAGCGAATAAACACGTCATGAAACTGTAAGGCCAGAGAAAGAGAAGGTTGTTTTCTTCCCTGTCTTTTTATATATCGTCTCCCCCATTAGACTGTGACCTCCATGAGGGCAGGGACTGTCTTATACCTTTCTTTGTGTCCCCAGTGCTTGGTACAGTGCTTGGCACACAGTAAGCACTTAATAAATGTGTATTGACTATGGACAACTGCCCCCCACCCCTCACCCCCCTCTCTGTGCCCTCACCCTAAATGTGTTTCTAACTCAGGAGTCCCAGGAAGAAAGTTTCTAATAAGCTAATTTTCACTGAAGTCACAGAATCGTGAGGTTTCAAGCAGGAGCCTTAGAGATCTCCCGGTCCATCTTGCTCATGCCCCTTTTTTACGGATGAGGAAACTGAAGCCCAGATTAGGGAAGTCACACAAGTCATCAGAGCTGGGATTTGAAGTCAGAACCTCTCTGTCCCCTAAAGCGCACTGGTGTCAGGGACTCAGTGTCTCCCCTGCCTAGAGGGTTTGGAAACTTCTGGCCCCCAGCCTGGAGAATCATGGCCTTCTTGCCTCCGTCCTCACCTTCATGGTTGTCCCGAGCAGCAGACACGGTGATGGCACTTTGGTCCTCCTCTACAACCACCACCCTCAGCACTTAGCATGCCATCCAGCACATAGTAGTAATACATATATATTGACTAGCGACTACGTACATCCATTCAACAGAATGTAAGTTTCCTGAGGGCATTTATTAGCTAGAAACCAGCTGTGTGGCCCTGGGCAAGTCACTTAACTTTTGTCTGCCTCCATTTCTTCATCTGTAAAATGGGGATGTTAGTAGTATCTCCATCCCGGGGTTGTTGTGAGAATGAAACGAGATGACGTATGTAAGGCACTTTGCAAACTTTAGAGAGCTACGTTATGATTATAATGGATGCTTTCTTGTTCTGTCATTTTCAGCCCTAACTCTTCATGACTCTATTTGGGGTTTTCTTGGCAGAGACACTAGAACAGTTTGGCATTCCCTTCTTCAGCTCATTTTTACAGATGAAGAAACTGAGGCCAAGAGGGTGAAGTGACTTGTCCAAGATCACACAGCTATTAAGCGTCTGAGGCCAGATTTGAACTCAGGAAGATGAGTCTTCCTGACTCCAGACCTGGCGCTCTATGCACTCTGGCGCCTCCTAGCCGCCCCAGATAGTGAATGCTACATTATTATTGTCACTATTATTACCATCATCATCTTTGTATGAATAGCCCGCAGCACGGAGCCTGTGCAAATTGTAAGTGATTAATGATGGATTGAATTAACGATAATGATAAAGAGAACAATAATACTCCTATGACCATCAAAATAGTTTTCCATTTCTAAGATCTGATGGGTAAAGTGTGGCTCAAGCCCATTCTCGGACCCATGGGAAGAGGGGTCACCCTTGTTCTGCCTGGCCCTGGAGGGCAGCCCTAGGAGCAGAGGGGGAAGGGGCAGGTTTGGGCTGGAGGTCGGCAGACATTTCCTGACCTTGAGCGCCATCCCCCTCTTCCCCTGCACCCTCGGGGGGTGGGGGGTGGTAGGCTGCCTTCACAGTTGATGAGTACCCTTTGCCTGGAGATCTCCAAGCAGAAGAGCTAGATGATGACGTACAGATTATTTTAGAGTTCGATTCCTTGTTCAGGTATGGCTTGGATTTGATGACAGCTGAGTTCCCTTCCAACTCTGAGATTCTGTGATTCCGGGGATTATCGGGCTAAGTGGGGCTCACTCGTAGCAGCCCCAGGGAGACCTTCAGGCTTGGCTACTGTATCTGCACCTCACAGCCCATAAAATCATGGAGGTAGAGCTGGCTGGAATCTCAGATATTAGCTAGTCCAGCCATCCCATTTCACAGATGAGAAAACGGATGCTTAAATGACTTGCCTAAAGTCACAGAGACAGCGGGAAGCAAGAATCAGAGTTCGAACCCAGGTTTTCTGCTGCTAAACCCAGTGCTCCTTCCACTAAGTCCTGGTTCTCTGTTGTGCATAATGGTTACCTAAAGGACCAGAGAGTTGACGTGCCCCGCTGGAAGACACACAGGCTGTTGGGGCTGGAGATGCGATCAGGGGCATTTTCCTTCTGCCGGTCCTTCCTCATCAGTGTAGAAAGTAAACTCTTCCGGGAAAGAACCGTCCCTCTTTGGTCTTTGGATCCACACCCAAGCCCATAGGATCCACTTGATAAATGGTTGGTTTTGGAATGGCCAATGGTTCTATCTTCCCCAAGGGCCACGCAGTGAAGCGGGCTGGTGCTCTAGAGGGAGGGACTCAAGGGAGCCATTAGCTTCTTGAGGTCAGCCTCCAAATCTCTCGCCGGGACCATCTTTCCGACTGAGGGGAGATGAGGGTCCGTTTTAGGGGCGGCGGGTCTTGCCTGAGGGCAGAGGGCTAAATGAAGGAGCCCTGGTTTTCTCTCCTTCCTCGTCTTCCTCTATGTTGTCTAGTACCCGATGGAGGGAGTGACGGGGTCCAAGATGCCAGCTCAGATCCGGGTCCAGCTCTGGTTTGGTCTCTCGGTGGACGGGAAGGAGCTTAACAAGTTTGCTGAGGGGAAGCTCTCTGTCTTTGCTGAAACTGTGAGTAGCTGCCCTTCCCTCTTCTTCCTCTCTCTCCATTCCACTCCAGGCTGGATCAGAGTCCTGGGCTGCTCCCCTCCCCTCCCATTCCAGGCTCAGTGCCCCTTTTCCTTTCCCCCATCTAGTATGAGAATCAGACGAAGCTGGCCTTGATGGGAACCTGGGGGACCGTGGGCCTCACCTACCCCAAGTTCTCTGATGTCACCAGCAAGATCAAACTGCCCAAGGACAGCTTCCGCCCATCTGCTGGCTGGGACTGGGCTGGGGACTGGTTTGTGAGTCCCGAGAAAACGTGAGTCTGGGGCTTTGAGCAGCCAGGCAGGCTGGGCAGGGAGAGGGAGGGGTGGCCGAATGACAGCAGCGTTCCGATCAGTATGGACGATGTCTCTGTGTCTCTCTCCCTCCTCGCTCCTGCCTGCCTGCCTGTCTCTGCCTGCCTGTCTGTGTCTTTGCGTGTCTGTTTCCACTCTCTTGTCTACCTGTCTCTCTCTCTCTGTCTCTCTCTCTCATTGTCTTACACTCTGTCATGCCCCCCTGAACCCTGGCATCCCTGTGACACGTATCCAGACTCCGTGGTGGGAGGGGAGCAGAGCTCTTCTCAGATAAACGCCTCTGGAAGGAGGCTTTACCCACCCCTCTGACCGACCCCCTTTTCTTGGCCCAGGCTGCTTTACGATGTGGACGCTGGCCATCTGAGCTTTGTGGAGGAGGTGTTTGAGAATCAGACTCGACTGCCTGGAGGCCAGTGGATTTACATGAGTGACAATTACACAGATGTGGTAAGGAGGAGCACTAGGGATGGGGTGGGGGAAGGTCCTGACCACAGATTACAGAGGGGTGGTCTGGGGCACAGAAAGGCTGAGACACTGACCTAATCACACAGCCAACCAGGAGCTTGGCTTTTTGTGACTTTGGGGATTCTTCTAGGGCTGTTGCTTAACTCTGTCTCCATCTTTTCCTCTTTATGTTTCTCTTTTCCCAATCTTTTCCTTCCTTTCCCCCTCTGTCTTTTTCTTCCCTCTCTCTCTCTTGCCCCATCTCTGTTTCTCTTCTCCCTATCTCTCTCTTTCTCTCCCCTATGTCTTTCTCTTCCCTGCTCTTCTTTCTCTCTCTTTCCTCCATCTTTGTTCCACTCATTTCCCTCTTTCTCTTCCTTCTTCTTCTCCTCTCTTCCCATCTCTGTCTCCCATCTCGATTTCTTAGAATGGGGAGAAGGTGCTTCCCAAGGATGACATCGTCTGCCCTGTGGGGTGGAAGTGGGAAGATGAAGAATGGTCCACAGATCTCAACCGAGCTGTTGATGAACTAGGTAGGATGGCCTGGTGGTTTGGTATGGTGGGGGTGAAGTGGGTCTCACTGCCTGGAGGGGAGGTCCCCTTCCTGCCCATAAGAGGCAGTCCTGCCCTGACTGAGTTATTTGGCCTCACTCGGTGGGGCCACTCTTTGGGGGCACCACTGGCCCTTGGGGGTGAGCAGTCCACTCTCTTTGACCTTGGATGGTGATGCTGGTAGAGATGCAGAAGCCAAGGCAACCCACTGGAAACACACTCCACTTAAGCGAGCATTTATTAAGTGCCTACTGTATGCCTGGGTGCTGGGTCTGCAATGACAAAAATGGAATAATTCCTGCCCTCAAGGAGTTGAAGCCGAGGATTCTATGAGCAGCTAAATTGGGCCTGGTTTTAATGGACCACCTGGGAACCTGCAAAAAAGGACTATATCACTGATAACTAGGCCTCAGTTATAATAGGCAGTGTAGAACACTGGAAGAAATACTGGATTTGGAGCCGGAGGAGCTGAGTTCAAATCCTAGCTATGCCACACACTACCTGTGTGATCCCTGGGCAAGACAGTTAATTGATAGACATTTATTAAGCTCCTTCTGTTTGTTAGGCGCTGGGGATACCAAGAGAAAAACAAAGCAACTTCTGCCCACAAAGAGCTTACGTTCTATCAGGGGAGACAATGTGTACCTGTCTATAAGTGTGTACAAACGTCTCTGGGCCTCAGTTTCCTTATCTGTAAAGAGTGTTGGACCAATGACCTGTGAGGTCCATCCTGGCTCCAAATCTATGATCCTATGACTTTATAGGCTCCCTTTCAGCTTGAAAACTAGGATCCTATGATCAGTCAATCAGTGAACATTTATTAGGTACCTACTGTATGCCAGGCACTGTGCCAAGTTAGAATTCCCTCTTCCGTATCTAGAACTACTCATCCTATCCCCAGATGACCAGGTCAGGGGGTCCAGAGTCTAAAGCCACAACTCCTTTCTTCTCCCTGGCAAAAGGCCCACAGTGTCCCTCTTCCCCCATGCTCTGGGGTGGTGGGAAACTCTTATGTTAAGTCACCGGGGTGCTGGTCTCTCCCAGGCTGGGAATATGGCATCATCATCCCACCTGACTGTAAGCCAAAGAACTGGGTTCCAACTGAGAAGATGTATCACACCAGCCGCCGCCGTCGCTGGGTACGTCTTCGAAGGAGAGACATCAACCAGATGGAGGCGCTGATAAAGGTGAGGCCAGGGAGGTGCTGGCAGGTGGAGGACCTGGGAGGGTTCAGGTCAATCCCACTCCTATTCCACTGATCACAGAGTCAGAGAAGGAGAAGGGGGTGAACTTCCTGTGTTTGGAGTCCTGAGGATAGAGAAGACCGAGACTGCTCAGAGAGACCTTGTTTAATAGAAAAATAGATAGATCATAGTTAGGTAGATAGATGGATGGATGGATAGAGAGACAAATGGATGGATAAATAGATCATATATAGATAAATGGATAAATAGACCATATGTAGATAAATGGATGGATACATAGCTAGATCATAAACAGATCAGTAAATGACAGATGATAGATGGGCATATGAGAGATAGGTGATAGACAGATAGCTAGATAACACATTTATTAAGCCCTTATTATGTGCTAGGCACTGTGCTAAAGTTGGAGATAGAAAAACAAGCAAGCAATATAGTCCTTGCCCTCAGGGGGCTTATATTCTAGTGGGCGAATAAGGGTATGTGGGAAAGCAGGGGCAGGGAAGGAAATTAGCTTTTCTATAGAGCCTACTCAGTACTGGGCACTGTGTGGGATATGGCAAAGAGCCACCCAGGAAGTCTCACAGGGGCTCACCTGTCAGAGCCGAGGGTCTGGAACGAATGGACGTCCAAGTTTCTGGGGGAGCTGATGAGGAGGAGATGGCAGGAATTGGCATGGGGACCTGGGAGAAGGCTCACCTGTCAGAGCCGAGGGTCTGGAACGAATGGACGTCCAAGTTTCTGGGGGAGCTGATGAGGAGGAGATGGCAGGAATTGGCATGGGGACCTGGGAGAAGGCTCACCTGTCAGAGCCGAGGGTCTGGAATGAATGGGCGTCCAAGTTTCTGGGGGAGCTGATGAGGAGGAGATGGTAGGAATTGGCATGGGGACCTGGGAGAAGGCTCACCTGTCAGAGCCAGGGGACAGAGGGCTGGAGGAAATAGGGTGCGCTGGTCTTGAGGAACTGGTCTGATGGAGGAGCCATAGCCTCTGTGACACCCACTTGGTCTATTAGCTGTAGCCCCACCAAGGTCAGCCTGCTCCCAGCTGCCCCCTTTCTTATGACCTACTGTGTGCTTAGGAGAGCAGTCATTCCTTAGAGTCTGATCAAATTGGTCAACAATCAAAAGGGTTTAGTGAACCCCAGCCTCGAGCCAAATTTTGTGCCAGGAGCTGAGGAACAAAGAGAAAGGAGTCCCTGCCCTCAAGATGCTTGCGCTCTGAAGGGGAGACAATATGTCTAAAAGTGTGGCTATCTCCAAGGTGGTTAGGAAGGGCAGCCAGGTGGTGCAGTGGGTAGAGCTTTGGGCCCAGAGTGAGGAAGACTCATCTCTGAGTTCAAATCTGGCCGCAGACACTGACTAGCTGTGTGACCCTGGGCAAGTCACTTCATTCTATTTGCCTCAGTTTCCTCATCTGTAAAATAAGCTGAAGAAGGAAATGGTGAACCACTACAGTATCTTTACCCCAAAAATTCCAAATGGGGTCATGAAAAATTGGGCACAACTGAGCAGCAAGTTAGGGAGGGAGGGCAGCTCTGCGTCAGAACAACAGAGGAAGGCACCTGGATTCTCCAGGCTATAACTTCCTTCCTTGAGGAGGGACATGCAGGGAAGTGGAGGCAGAGTCTGTTGGCCAGACCAAGCCTCCAGTCCTTCCCTCAGGGGCTCAGTTCAGTGCTAGACCAAAGCCAGGCTACGCTGGCATGTGACTTGAGCCAGACACTTTGCCCCCTCCTTACCCCAGCAGCCTCAAATGTTCCTGGGGCTGGAGGTGATGCTGGGACAGAGCCAGGGGCCAGGCAGGGCGTCCCAGGAAGCCAGACTGTGTGCTCCTCGTCCCCTGGATAAAAGGCCCAGAGAACAGGGCCCCTCAGCCTCCTGCCACTCCTGGACCCAGGCCCTGCACACTGTAGGGTGTTTCTTAGACTGTCTTCTCCTCTACCCCCAGTCACTTTGTATTCCCTGTGCAGATGTTGTATCTTCCCATAGAGTGTAAACTCCCTGGGGTCAGGATCTGTCTCACTTTTGCCTTTGTGTGTTGCTTCATACAGTGCCTAGCACATGGAGACAGAGATAAGGATTAGGCTTTGGTTTTAAATAGTGTAGGGGAGCTTCCAGGGAGGAAATCTTGCCACCAAGGCGGGTGAGAGCCTTCTCTGCAATTTATAATCTCAGGGAGCCATAGAGTATGGAGAAAGTACATGACCTATTCAGGACTATGCAGCCAGGATGTGTGATTTGAACCCAGATCTTCATGACTTTGAGGCCAGTTCTCTATCCATTACACCACAATGCCTCTCAGTGGCACACACTGGGCATTTAATAAATGCATGTTGATTGACTGAGGGGTACCAGGTACTCTTCTATGCCAGGCCTTCCACCTGTGAGCCTCTGGAGGTGGTGGTGGTGGAGAGAGCAGTTGTACATATGTATGTTGTGGGTGTCTCCCCTTTGGATGTCTCCATAGGACCTGGGATTTGGAGGGTGAGAGATTGGGGAAAGGGGTGTATGGGGCAGGGTCATGGGAGAGACATCATTATAATAATTCATGTTTTTTTAAGCCTTTTGAGGTTAACAAAGCCCTTGCTCTGTGAGGGAGGTAGTATAGATATCCTTCTCCGCATTTTACAGATGAGAAGAGTAAGGCTCGGAGAGGTTAATTGACTTGCCCAGGATCAAAGAGGCAAGATTAGAACCCATACCCCGACTCTAAGTTCAGTCTTGTTTGCACTCTGCCCTAATGTTTCTTATAGCTCCAGGCATGGGTCCCAACCTTTGTGTCTTGCCCCCCTGCTCCATTCCCTACACTCCCCTTCTTTTCTGGAACTTTCTTGGGGAAAAAGGAAGCCTCAGACTTGGAAGGAAGGGGATTTTACTTTTCCCTCATTTTATCTTTGTTACTTGTATGTTCTCTGCCCGCTGCCTTCTCCCTCCAAGGACAGCAGGTATCCTGGTATGCCTGAGGGAGACCTGGTCTAGAGGACACCTTCCCATCTTCTCCATCTGGATGGTACAGATAGGGAAGGAAACAACAGACCGACAGACAGACCACATCAACAGGCCGATGTTGACTCTGGGCACTGAGACACCTGGATCCCACCTCTGACACCCACTAGCTGTGGGATGGTGCCTTGGTTTCCTCATCAGTCCATTAGCAGGCATTTATGAAGTCCTCGTTCTGCTCCAGCCTTTCAGGAAGTTTGCAGTCTAGCTCGGGGAGACAACATGTAGAGATGTACATTTATAAGACACAGGGAGAGGGACTGGACTTTTGATTTCGTTGGTAGAGGGAATTCCTGCATAAGGAAACTCCCTTTTTTCAATGCGGGTTGGCACCCTCTGTGCAGCTTAGAGTCTTAGAGAGTTAACCAGAGCACTGAGAGGGTGCCCAGGATGTGTCAGAGGGACATTTGATCCCAGATCTTCTTGGCTTCAAGTCCAGCACCCTGTCCGCTACTTAAATAAGGAGATGGGGGAGGCCCTAGTGACTGGGGAAAGTCAGAAAACATCTCCTGTCAAAGGCATCCTTGGAGCTGAGTTGTGAAGGGAGTCATGGATTCTATTGGTGGAGGTGAGGAGGGAGTGCATTCCAGGCACGGGGTACAGTCTGGGCAAAGACCCAGAGGTGGGAGATATGGGATAGTGAGCATGAGAACACTAAGAGAGCCAGTTTGGCTAGACCACAGAGCATGCAAAGTGTAGTAATGTGTAATAATGATGGAAAGGCAAGTTGGTCCTAGTAGGGACAGCATAGTTTTTATTGCTGTTGTCTGTCCTTTGTTCTTGAAGAGGACATGACAGTGGGAGGGAACAGGGGAACACCAATCGATCATATGGTATTGCATCCATTTCACAGATGTTTTACATCTTCCTTTCTTCTTCCTTCCTTTCCCTGCAGCACAGAAAGGCAGAGTCGGAAGGTGAGGGATGGGAATACGCCTCTCTCTTTGGCTGGAAGTTTCACCTGGAATATCGAAAGACAGATGCCTTCCGTCGCCGCCGATGGCGCCGTCGCATGGAGCCCCTGGAGCAGACTGGGGCTGCTGCTGTCTTTGCCCTGGAAGGAGCCCTGGTAGGTGGGCAGATCCGAGGTGGGATGGAAAGGAGCTCTATGGGAAGAGCACAGCTTCATACCACAGGAAGGGAAAATGGACTACCCTTAAGTAGGAGCCCAGAGAAAGTGCAGTTATATATATTTCTTGTTGTTATTCAGTCGTTTTCAGTCCTGTCTTACTCTTCATGACCCCATTTGGAATTTTCTTGGCAAAGATACTGGACTGGTTTGCCATTTCCTTCTCCAGCTCATGTGACAGATGAGGAAACTGAGGCAAGTAGGGTTAAGTGACTTGCCCAAGGTCACACAGCTAGTAAGTGTCTGAGGCCAGATTTGAATTCGGGAAGATGAGTCTTCCCAACTCCGGACTCAGTGCTCTATCCACCATCTAGTCCAACTTAGACACCAACTAGTCGTTTCTAGAGGAGAAAAATGAGGACCAGAGATGGGAATGAAATTATTAATTATCATCAACGACATATACTTGGAAAGCACTTTAAGGTTTGTAAAACGACAGCCCCATGAGGTGGCTTGTATAATTATTATCACTGTTTTACAGATGTGGAAAGTGAGTCTAGGGTTAAGTAACTCATCCCTTTTCACATAGTAGCAAGGATCTGGGATTTGAACTCACGGATTACAGTAGGTCCAGTGTTTTCACCCCTTGGGAAATGAAAATAGATGGGGGGTTGGCAGGGACCTTAGAACACAGAATGTCAGAGCTGGGAGGGATCTTAGAATGTGGAATGTCAGACCTGAGAAGGACTTGAGAAGCCTAGAATGTTGGAGAGAGAAGAATCAGAGCATGGATTATAAGAGCTGAAGGGCACCTTAGAGGTGACAGATGAGGAAACTGAGGTTCAAAGGTGACACGATTTGCTGAAGGTCACACAGGTAATAAGTAGAAGAGATAGGAGTTGAAACTGTTTTAATTAAAATGTTTTCAAAGGTTAGATCTTGCAATCTTGCCCAGGCTGGAAGTTCCAGGGCTCAGTGGGTCCCAATCTGATTGCCACAGGAGACTTCAATTACCTAGGAACCTCTCCTTGAACTCTGACTTAAGGAGACAGTGCACGTATTCATGGAACGCAGTCACAAGTAAGGACAGAGTGAAGAAAGGCCCTTTCCAAACCAAACAGACTAAACTTCCCAGAGGCTCAGAATGTGGAACGATCAGTCAAATGGGTTTTCTGAGATGGGCCTCTCTGCAAACTTTGTGACTTCAGCCAAGTCACTCGACCCCTCAAAGTGTCAGCTCTAGAGCAGGGCTGGAGTACATTTGATCTCCAAATGTCGGGATGGAAAAGTAGTTTGAAACGTGAAAAAAGATGCTGAGGAAGGTCAAGGACTGGACTTTGTGGCCTAAGTGTTCTGGACTAAGAATCATTGAACCTGGGTTCAAGTCTTTGCTCTGCTACTATTTCTTGTGACCTTGGGCAGTCACATTCCGGCTCTGTGCCTCAGTTTCCTCTTCTGTAATATGAGGTGGTGATGAGATGCCCTCTTGGTTCTGACATTCCCTATTCTAAGGCTCCTCCCAGGTCTGACATTCCTTGTTCTGAGGCCCTTCCAAGCTCTGACATTCTCTGTTCTAAAATCCCTCCCAGCTCTGACTTTCTATGAAGTTATGAATTGTCCAGATTTGTTATCCAGAATTATTATGGCTACTCCCCCCCCCCATCTTTTGATGGGACATTGATTGCTAATACGGGCCTTTGTCATGGCTCTGAGACTCTGGACAAAACTCGCAGACTAAAGGAAGGCCCATTTTAGTCATTAGACTAGACTTACTCAGGCATGAAAGTCTGTAGTGGGGAGACCTTTAAGTAAGATTTTCAACCAGGTTAAAATTGAAATGTTTTCTGGGTAAGTATCAATTAACCCCACATCCTATTCCTCACTCCCACCCACAATTCTCTAAATTTTCTGGATAATTAAGTTTGATTAGTAAACTCTTTGGCTAATGTCCAACCTCTGGCTGACATAGACAAAGACTGGCTGATAGATCAGAATTTGAAACACACATGTACACACACACACACACACACACACACACACACACACACACACACACACAATTATTTTTGCATTGGCCCTAAGAAGAGTTAGCAGCCTTCAGCCCTATCATTAAACAAATGTTCTTTGACAAGCTCATACTTACAGACATTCATCACTCAGTTCACTAGTGAATAAACATTTATTAAGCACCAACTGGGTGCCAAGCCCTGTGCTCAGTGCTGAAAAGACCAAGCAAGGCCATGGCTCCCGTCCTGGAGGAGTTCACGGTCAATTGGAATAGTAAATTGTTTCTGTACCACTTGAAAGTCTCTGAGGCATGTTGCTTGTGTTACTTTATCCTCACCACAACCCTGTAAAAAAGTGGGTACTGTAATTATTGCCATTTTGCAGATGAGGAAACTGAGGCTGTGAGAGGGTTAGTGACTTGCCTGGGCCAGGGGACAGATATTGGGTCCTAGTTATAGATCTGGAAGGAATCTCAGAGGCTGTCTGGTATAACCCTCTCATTTTACAGATGAGGAAACTGAGGCCCAGACAGAGTCAGTGATTTACCCTAGGTCACAGAGGTAGCGAATAGCAGATGGTCTGTGTAAACTCGCATGACTAGAGAGGGCTGGATGGCATTGGGCCAACAGGCCAGTTTGTCTGGGATGTGAAGTGGGTGAAGGATGAGTGGTGTGGCATAAGTGGGGAAAACAGGTGCGAGTTAGACTGTGGAGGTCCTCCAATGCTTGGCTGAGGAGGTTATGGCCATGGTGTTCAGTTGTTTCAGTCATGTTGGCTTCTCCATGATGCCATTTTGGGGTTTTCTTGATGAAGATACTAGAGGGGTTTGCCATTTCCTTCTCCAGCTCATTTTACAGAGGAGGAAACTCAGGCAAACAGGGCTCAGTGACTTGCCCAGGGTCACACAGCTAGTAAATGTCTGAGGCTAGATTTGAACTCAGATCTTCTTGACTCCAGGCCTAGCACTGGAGGATAGCTTGAGGGGGCCAGAAATGTAGGGACCGGAAGCAGAGAGAAGAGTTAGGAAGCACTCTATTGGAAAAACTCAAGTGAGAGCTGATAAGGGTCTGAACTCAAGTGGGGGCCATAGGAATGGAATGAAGGGGGTTCTTGATTTGTTCTGGATGATCACTCACCCCCTGCTCAGTTTGGGGGTGAAGCCTGGGATGTTTCTCAGACAATCCACTCACAGGGGTGTGTGTGCAGTCCTGCATGTATTGGAGGCCAGGGGAGAGCGATCTGACCTATTTCCTTTTTCCACTGTTGTGGTCCTGGCTTACCTCTGCTGTATCTTATCCCCGTCTTGTCCCCTGGTGACCACCATCCCTTACCAGCTCCCCCCACTGTCCCTCAGGGAGACCCCGGTCTGATGGGGGAGACTGGAGAAGGGCCTTGGCCTCCAGACCCGTGGTGCCCCGGGGCCCTTTGTGTCTGCTTCCCGCTTTCCCCTTCCCCGGCACGTAGTCCTCTCTCGCAGTGCAGGAGCTCTGGGGCCTGGCCTTTCCTGTCCCCCTGTGAAGACAGCTCCTTGGAAGCAGACCCTGTCTGGTAATTAACACATGCAGCCTCAGCCCTCTCCCCGCTCCCATCCCCACCCTATTGGCTCCTTTCACAGAGCAGGAGGCCTTGGCTCCCAGCCTTGGGCCAACGGTAATTGTCTGCAGTCTCCATCCCGAGCATTATTTTATTTGAGTATTATTCTTTTTCCAGCTAATATCCTGGCGTTCCCAAAGACACCGGGTTTCATAATCTTCCTGGCATTCCCAGAGAACCTGGGAGTGGAACACAAAGCCGCTATTATAGCAAATTGCCTCTCTCCTCCTCCTCCCCTCCACACCCCTCCTCGGCCTCCTGCTCCCATCCAGCTGCCCCTCTGCTTGACATGCAGGGCTCCCTGGGAAAGTCAAAGCAAGTGACTGCGCTGGATGAGCTCACGGAATTAGACTGTCTCCCTTGGCTCAGGCCGGCTCCTATGCCCTTGGATTTTTCCAGAGTCCATCCTCTTCTCTTGGCCCATTTGTCTTGGGAGGGATGGCTCAGAATAGCTTTTTGAGGCGCTCGGGGCTTGGGCAAGGAGAGGAGGGGAGGTGCTGGTGGGGAGCCCGTCTTCCCAGGAGCACTTATGGGGAAGCCCGAGCCAGAGCCCTCAGCAACACCCCTGCCTTCTCCTGGGCCTTCTGCCCACCTAGGAACACAGTCCTGCTGGGTGGAACAGAGGACTTGATTGAGCGAAGGCAGAGAACCGGTGGCTAAGATCGCTGATTGAGGGAACCTGGCTCTCTCCTCTCCACCCTCAGTCATCCCCAAGAAACCCCAGATTAGATGTCAGAGGGATCCCAGCCCAAGAGCTGAAAGAGACCTCTGAGGCAAAACCCCTCATTCTCCAAGTGAAGTGACTTGTCCAGGGTCACCTGGCTTGTAAGTGGCCCTCCCTGGAGGAGAAGTCTGCTCTGCCTAGAGGAAATGGACCACAGGGAGACTATGGCCCTTGACTTTGGGGTGGCCTTGGGCTGTTGATAGAAACAAGCCTTGGCCTCTGGAGCCCCTAGTCTGCTAAGTAATCTAATACCTGTTTTCTGGGACTCAAGTCATGGTGGGAAAAACTTGTTGCCCTTAGGAAGTCTTTGGTCTGCTTTGCTCCTTGCCTCTCCCCTCTTCCATATCTCCCTGCCAAGGTGGCAGCCTCCCGGTGTTCAGCTTGCTGCCCCCTCCCCAACTGCAACTGAGTTGAGGTTACTTCCTCTGGGCAGGAAAATTGATGGCTATGGCTCTGGGTTCCGCTGTGCCCCAAACTAGCCTCGGGAGACTTTGTCTTGCTTCTGTTAAAAAGGCGTTCACCGTCCCTTCTGGGGTAGGGCCTAAGCAAGGTCACACTTGATTGTTTGGGGTCTATGAGGAGGCACTGAGGACCGGGGTCCAGCACGAAGGCAGAGCCTTGTCCCCAACTCTGGCTCACCCAGCCCTCAAAGCTTTTGTTTTCCTGGGGAGATTGC